AGGGAAAGAAATAAAAAAGTAGATCTTGATGTTGTTGGGTTTACTTCACTGATTTGAACTATGTTTATGGAGAAAAAGAGATCATAAACATTCAGTGGAAGTAGGCTCAAAACGTGAGCCTGCCTTTTCAGTGAAGTAGGGGCAGTCTGGCATCCTAGGTGTTAGGAAAATAACTAGGCCAAAGGGCTCACTAACACTCTAAAGTGAGGGCTCAAAAAGCAGTTTTCAGTGTGTCTTTTTATGACCATACCTATTGCCCTTGTCAGAGCTGAGCATGTTATCGTCAGCTTATCACCTCTTTATCCTGTAAATCTGAGTATCTGTTGAATGACCAAAAAATAAAAACATGATTTGGCTTCTCATACAGACCTGGTAAACTCAAATGATAATAGTAGGTCAGTATCATTCTACAGAGCATGAGCTCAGCCCAGACAGATATTGCTCACAATGGAAATTTTTTATTTTTATTTGACATTTGATGATTTTGTCCATTCTAGACCAAGCTTTTCTTTCTCTTTTCCACTGCCTCCAGCCCTAGAGCCCATCATGGGTCTTTTCCTCCTCATTGTGAAAGTTTGACCAGAGACGTTTTCTGGTAGCATAAAGGAGTCAGCAGTGCTGGCTCTCTGCATTCTTTGTGTCTGGACAAATCAGAAGTTGCATCATTAGTATAAAAGTGGGTTTTCAGCAGCAGCTATTCTCAAATTCAGTTGATATGCATGCTTATGTTTTCTGAAAAGTCTCTGAAGTGCAAGAATGTCATCTTGCCTCATTCTTTAATTCTAATCTTGCAAATAATCTACTAAAATATTAATTGTAATCAAGATAAATGCGTATTGATTTGCAAAGCATCCTAATCTAATCATAAGCCTGCTGTACACAAGACCATCAAATACAAGACAATGTATGAGCCTGTTCCTATGCGGATAAATTCAGCAGGTTTTTGTGTGTTTGGTGTATTCTTTAACACATAAAGGTTTGGTTGCGTTTGGGAGGATGAAGAGCGTTAATGAATATTTAGCAAATAGGAGCTTCCTGGCCACCTTGCTACTAGTTTTTAAGCAATATAGCTAACAAATCAGGATTAATTTAGACTATTCTCCTCAAATCAGTGCAAGATGATACATAAAGATATTTCTGCTCTTGTGAGACCTCACTTGGAGTATTGTGTCCAGTTCTGGTGTCCTCAACAGAAAAAGGACATGGAGCTGTTGGAGCAAGTCCAGAGGAGGCCACGAGGATGATAAGAGGACTGGAGCACCTCCCGTATGAAGACAGGCTGAGAAAGTTGGGGCTGTTCAGCCTGGAGAAGAGAAGACTGTGTGGAGACCTCATAGCAGCCTTCCAATATCTGAAGGGGGCCTACAAGGATGCTGGGGAGGGACTCTTCATTAGGGACTCTAGTGGTAGAACAAGGGGTAATGGCTTTAAACTTGAACAGGGGAAGTTTAGATTAGATATAAGGAAGAAGTTCTTCACAGTGAGGGTGGTGAGGCACTGGAACAGGTTGCCCAAGGAAGTTGTGAATGCTCCATCCCTGGCAGTGTTCAGGGCCAGGTTGGACAGAGCCTTGGGCGACATAGTTTGGTGTGTGGTGTCCCTGCTCATGGCAGGGGGGTTGGAAGTAGATGATCTTAAGGTCCTTTCCAACCCTAACTATTCCATGATTCTATGATTTGCTGGACCTCACTTGCACTTTATTTTCCTTCCCCCTGTGGCAGAATCATGAGATTAATTTTGCATGAACTGAGCTAGGAAAAAAAATAATCAAATGAAAATAAACTGAATTGGAGAATAACCTCTGGTTAGCTAATTTCTTAGAAATAATTTGGGCCCAAATAATTTTTGCTGTTATACCTGTTTTAGGGATGAAATTTTTTTCAGTGCAATTACTTGGGAAGTACAGTTACACAGCCAAAAGGCAGAGAGAGCCATCAATTTCCTAAATGTAAAGAACTAGCTTTTTAACATGAACTCAGTGTTTATTTCTGAAGTCTCCGCTCATCTCACTATAAACTCTGAGTAGTGAATTTTTAAATTTGTTTTTTAAGTTCATTCATGAGGCACGTCTTTCAGTGTGGATTTAGAAGCCTAGTTGCAGGCTTTTTCTTCAGAAAATTCAGACTCTGCTCTCTAATCTACTCTTCAGATATGATATAAATATTTACTTTCTACCAACAAGCAAGGTTAAGCGGATTTATTCTAATTAGCAGGTAACTTCATTGTGTTGTGTTTTGTAACAGACGGTACTTCGGTGAGAAAATTGGGCTGTACTTTGCCTGGTTAGGCTGGTACACAGGAATGCTCTTCCCAGCTGCCTTCATTGGATTATTTGTCTTTTTGTATGGAGTCACCACTTTGAACCACTGCCAAGTCAGGTAACGTGGGCAGTTTTATAAGGGAAATTACATTAGTGGGTTATTATGAATAATTTAAGAGATTCTTCATATGAACATTTCTTCATATGAATTGTTAATTATTTCATTTTGAACTGTTGAATAAATACTCAGGAAAAGATTGTGCTTGTTTCTCATAAGCTACCCAGTATCGAGCTTCCCTTGTTTTGTGCTCTGGAATTTGGATGAAAGGCAATGTTTCTTGCCCAGCTCCAGTTGTTGATGGTGCTGGCAACTCAGCATGAAGCGGGGGAAAAGTAGGGCTCCTTCATTACTCTAGTAACAGACCAGCAGAAGAGTGGGAGATTTTTCAGTCTTTAAGGCCTTTTCCAAAGATCCACCACAGGGAGGCATTCTTCATATGAAGAACCCCCAGGGCCTTCTGCTGAGTGCTGCATCTCTACGTTCTTGCATGCTTAAGACAAATTACAAGAATAAGTCAATGCTCACCCTCCTCCTACCAAAGGCCACTTCTGACTTAAGAAGCTGGAAATGGTAAAGAGATACTGCTAGGCTAGCCCTGCAGTTAGGAATGTAAACTCTGAAGTCTTAGACAGCCAACAAATATTAATTAGACACATGCAGTTATGAAGATCTTGGCTTCAGTTACAGAACCAGTATTGTTCAATAAGTAACTATTAGTGAAACTTATCAATCCATTCTAAGACTGACTTGTTCATCAAACTACTGATTTTTATTTTTTCTATTTTTCCAGTAAAGAAGTCTGCCAAGCTACAGATACCATAATGTGTCCTATATGTGATAAATACTGTCCTTTCATGAGGTTGTCAGACAGCTGCATTTATGCCAAGGTACATTTTAAACTATGCAATTAGAAATGCTTTCCTGGTAAAAGCATTAATTTTGTCTTTGCATTTGTCTTTTGTGAGCTTGAAAGGACACATCAAGTTCAGCCAATATCAACATTCATTGTATTTTACCAAGACTTAGTTTGGGTTGTAAAACACTTGAATGCAATTTGCACTTAGAGAGTCAGCAGTCCCAGAGGTCATGTCCTAGATGCATGTGCTACAGTGTCCTTGGCATTAACCTTTATCTTATGATCCATCCTTTGTACGTGGCTCCTTGAAATGAATGCTTTGGGTCATTCCCCTGTGAGGCTGGCAAATAGTCATGTCAATTGGTAAGCGCATTTCACATGTCAAGGGAAGGATCCTCAGGATTGTCAGGCCAGCTGCACTCATGATCACATTAATTTTATTAGGTCAAAATAGAAAATAAAGCTATATCACAAATTGATCACACTATTAATATATCCTTTAGGTAACCCACCTTTTTGACAATGGAGCTACTGTCTTTTTTGCTGTTTTCATGGCTGTGTGGGGTAAGTTTTTATTTTGATATTAAGTAATTGAACAACCTTTTTCTTAAAGATTATGGTGCAATGTGGGCCTTTGTAATTTCCAGCACATTTTTTTTCAGACACTAAGAAGAACAATATAGGCTTGATTCTTTCATGTTTCTGCAAAGGGAAGGTGGAAGTGGTTGAAATCAGATTTTTATGCGATAATAATTTTAATTAAAATAAAAACATGAATGCAGTATGTAGTGTGTGTGTAGATACATTCTGGAAGGGTTGTAATTGTTTTTCAGTCTGTTGGCACTGAGGCCTTTTCTCTGTTACTGTTCAGGGCTTCTTTTAGCTTAGGGCAGCTCAGTTTAGTGTCTGTACTAAAATGAATTAATATATTGTTTTTCCCACTTTGCAGAAAGGCAATAAACCTTAAATACATGTAAGCTGGTTGTAATTAAAGCAAAACTGATGAAATAAATGAGAGACTTAGTTGAATGACAAATTGATGCAAGAGTAGTCTAACTGTTGCCATGGAGGCTGATTTTTGCCTATAGGACAGTTCTATTTCTGCCTCCACTATTTTTCCTACTGTGGTCTCATGGGCAAGATTGAAGGGAAGAGGAAACAATAATTTCTGGCAGCACAAAAGGTCTTTCAAACATGCCCTGAGCATGCCCAGGCTCTTAGCTGCTACCATGCCATTCTGGGAGGTTAACACCTTTAGAAAATGGATTGATGAGGTGCCTCAAAAATGGCATCCATTTCAGAGCTCCAGGAACTTGAGCTAATCTGATTTAGCCATTGTTCTCCTGTTATTACTCACATACCTGCAACTGCTTTGGAAAGATGGCCAAGTAATCCATATAATCGGCATTTTAAACTGCAAATCTCTTTACTGGTCCACAAGAAATATCCAAGAGGCAACATTTGAGCCATCAGTACAACATCGATTAGCCTACCGGTCTGTCACAGTTCTTTCCTGCAAGTTAACTGATTAAATTATGTCTTCGTTAACTAATTAAATTATGTTATACACCAATCAAGCCTATTGGTATATGACCTATGTAATATTGGCAGTGTTAAAATATCACAGATCACCTTAAAGGAAAAACCCACAGATCTTACAGTTTCATGTTTTTCCTTGGTATTTTACCTCTGTTTTAGGGCTACGGTAGAGCTGAGAATCACCAAAAATTTCTAAGCCTTAAAGATTTTTTAGATGTTTACTCAGCTTTTCCAACCTTTTTCTCAATGTGCTCACTGAAGTTGAGAATTTCCAAGACAGTTTAGAGGCGGGGACTTCCATCTCAGCTAGGAAAATTGATGGGTTAACATTGTTGTATCTTTATGTCACTGCTCCTAACTGCTGGTGAGCATCTCTTTGGAGTGCAGCTTTTGGTATCAGTGCTTTTGTTCCTCCTAAAGAGTAACACAGCTTTCAGGAGACAGCTGTACTCACAGTGTTGCACCTGTGTCTTCGCATTGCCCGGAACCAGGACCGTAGGAAAAGCAGCCCTAGTAAGGGGAGTCCCTCACTCAGGTAACCATGCCTGGCGCTGCCTTGTGGTTGTTGTGTGTAAGACGGCTAAGCTGTCCCTAGCTGACAGGAGCTGCACCTCCCTTTGGGTAGCCTCTCATTCCTCCCTCTCTTTCAGCATCCCTGTCAGACTCCCAGACCCAATTCCTCCTGAGAATATTGCCCCACCAGTGGGCCAGGACTATGAAATACACTGTCCATCCATGCATCTCCAGACCCTAAGCCTGCAGAGAGAGATGATTTAGCTAGCAGAGATGAAACTATAGGATAGCAGCTGGGCTGAGAGATTTCCTTACCACTTTTGTTGGCTTACACTGTGCTTTTGAGTTCGCTGCCAAGAGGGATGTAGGGGCAGGAACAGGAACAAGATTGTGAGTGTAGGTTATGGTTTGGGGAATCAGGCGATCCTATGTCTCTACCCAAACTGTAGTTTCTTAAATAAGACTAATAAGACTTTGCTGAGACAACAGTGAGATTGTAGAGATATAGTTAGGGCTAAACCAGTGTTAGAACAAGAGAAGCCACGCTTCCCAGGGATTTTCTGGTACTGTATATGTAAGTTGGCTTATTGCCTGTCCTAAATGGATTTTCAGTCTGCAGCAGGCCTATTGGCAGCTGCAGGCATTGCCATCATCTCAGTAAAACATAGGGGAAGAGAAGAAACAATGATAGCAGTTTAATTGTGGGAATGTTTTTTTCTGTCGACATGAAACAATTGGCAAGTGCATGGCAAATTGGCTGTGAAAACTTCAGCCTTCTAGGTGCTTCAGTTTAACAGACACTAGTGTATAAAAATTATGGCAGTGCTTTTAGAAAAAGAGAATGAAAGCAAAAAAAGGCAGCTAGAACTGTGTTACCTCTTTAGGCTGAATTTAGCCACTGTCTTATACCTTCTTCACTGTCTTTAAATCCATTAGCCGACTCCCATCTTGAAGGAGAAACCTCAGTCATTTGCTTGATGTTTTCAAAACTAGACATGTTCAGGTTGGGCTTTCCATGAAGAGGTAATCTGTATGGAGGTTTCCTCTTTCTACTCAAAAGACATGTTTAATTGATAGAGAAAGAGGGTTGCTCACTTTTTAGATAGAAATAAGATGTTTCTCCAAATGATGAGCAAACTGCTGCGGCCAGGCTAGGGAGAGGAACTACCATGGCAAATATCAGTATGAGCTGCTTGATTTGTGGAGCAGCAATAAGCCTGGCTGTAGGACTTTAAAGCAGAGGGACCCATCTTTTATAGTGCTTCATTGTGGGATAAGACAGTTCCATCAAAGGAAGGTTGGAATTACCAAGTGCACCAGGAGACACTGGAATAGAGAAACACTTTTCTTCAAAAAATATATTGACCCATCACCTTACTTACTGTATTTCTGCCTGGTTTAAACAAAGTTCTATATAAGAATAAAAGTAATTGATACAATAGGAAAAAATATTATACTTGTTAATGTATTCCTAAAAGACATAGGACTTAAGACAACTTTCATTTTAAACTGATGTAGCAAAGGCCAAAAGGTAGTATCCCTTATGTACCCTGATGATATTCGCTGGTAGTTTGTATAAGCTTTTCTGTTATTGGAGCTTCTGTTTAAGGGAAAGACCCTTTCAGAAGGATTGAAGATATGAAGTGCTGTGGTTTACAGGAAACAAGTCCCTATAAACACTAATGCTTTTTTATTGGTGAGCAGATTGTTGTTGATGCTTACTGAGATGTTATCATCTCAGAATCTGGAAAAGAATTCTTCCTTTTGTGAATGTCTTGGTGATATTTTCCAGACATTCTGAGTTTTCAAAAAGAGGAGAGCAATAGCATTTTTTGTGTTTCTATGGTAGAGGGAAACACCTACACTTTGCCCTTTATGTATACTTTGAGATATGTCAAACCTGATGAAAAGGTAGGTCCCATTTCTAGGAAAAACTCCTCTTTTTACTGTCTGAATGGGGTTCTTGCCAAAGACAGAAAATTCATTCTCAGCAACAAATCTAGGTAAATTTGATTATCAGTTGATTCCTAGTATGTTGCTGTAAAGCCAGATGGAATTGTAGCTTTTGCTTTTCCAGTTGAAGTACTGGGGAAAGTTAGTGCAAAGATGTCACTGTCTAGATGTTTCCTGAAGCTCAGTAGCAAAGTTCTGTAATTGTCCAATAGGACAATCCAGCTATTCATAATTTCTAATGCTTCGCTAGAGACAAGGTGGGCTGATGGTAGTTTCTTTGTCTCTACATATCTTTGGGGGACTAAGGGACACAAGAAAAGCGCTTTTTGACATTTCTTCTTGTCTACCTAGAAGCATGTTTCCTTCACTAAAGGAAGTAGCTTTAGAACACTTGCTGAAAGGCAAAGTTGGGAGGGGAAAAAGGCCTGGCATGAATAATTTAACACTTTTTTCAAGCAATAAGAAATGCCAACATAAAACATATTTTTCTAATTAGATCAGTTAGTCTAATAGAAGATATTACTTACCTACAAACCTTGCCTCTAGCATAAAACTTTCACTTTGATTTTATCTCTGAGAAGACAGAATTTAAGGAGGTTCTTCAGCAATATTCCTGGTGTACATAATATATTCTGTAAGACAGGATGGATATATTAAATGAAATACGATAAAGAAAGAATTTCTGAGAGAAGGTCAGGATTAAGCTATTTGCTGTGAGAGGCCATTTGCTTAACTAGGTAAGATCACATCTTGGTTTAAAAGTGTCTGAAAAAGTGATGTTAAGACAGCCGTTTGTACAAGTGGATATTGAGGACTGAGCTGCAAGGCTGAGCTCTGAAGCAGGACAAGTACAGTAGAGAAAAAACTAAAAAAAAGCCTGTGAACTAAGGCCAATGAGAAATTCAAAATTCCAGGCAGGATTTTTTTGAGAACTCTCAGCATCTGATTTAAACATACCAATTGGAAAATGGGAGAAGGGTAAGTACAACTGTGTCCTGTTGAGCTGTCAAAGTCAGAAAAGAACATTGAAGTGTGATGTCAGGTATTAGTGATTACTTGACTTTTTAGAAGACCTCAGTAGTACAGTGAATCAAATCAAAGATGGTTATTTATAGCACATTTTAAAATATCTAGCAAAGGAAGAGTGCATACTGACCTGGATGGAAGAAAAAAAGTGTAGCACAGTAAAAGTTAAAGCGCTGAGTAGATCATCCTATTTCCTACTTAATTATTTGAAAAAAAGCTTTGTAAAGAAGCTTCAGGAACTGCACATACTTACTCTGGCAGGTGCTAAATATACTAAATACAGTATGTATAGTTCTCTCACTCCAGGTGTGTGGGGATAAAAAAAATAGAAAAAAATTATGGTTCAGCACAGACCTATCTGAGATGTTGATGACTGTGGACACATACGTCCGCTTCAGTCCTGCTTCCAGCTGTTTTTTGGAATGGAAACAGAGTGGTAGTAATCAATCAGGCTTGTTTCGCCAAGGTCTCTGAAAAGTGCAGGGCTGCTTGTTTAGCCTGAACAAAATAATTCAATATCAGCTGATAGGAAAGAAGCAGCTCCACCAGAAGTCAAGTTGAGGAATGAATAATGT